ATTTGGACTAATATGACCATCTTTCTTGTTGCTATCACGTTTCGACTGTTGTTTCTTCTGATCTTCTTCAGGTGTCTGTCAATCCAGATAACCTTCAGGGAAATTCAAACTGAACACTTTATTTAATCTATAAGTAGACTGTTCTCGTTCTGCTGTCAATGTCTCATAATGTAAAAAAGGCCAAAGAACACAACGGCTGAAATGTTATAATTATAACATCAAAGCTATGGATATTAGTTCAAATGTAAATAATAATTACTCCTTGTCCCAGACATCCAAGCGGATTTGTTTAAGATTTTTTTAACATTAGAATTTTCTATTTTTTTCTTGTAATGTGATAATAATGTTTAATAGAAAAGTTTGCCAGACTATGGCTCATTGACCAAAACTTCCTGTAGACTATATGGAATATATCATTATCCTTAAAAAAATTGTATTACCGTATTTGCTTATGCATAATACAAACGCGTTTTTCTGAAGCTAAAAACGGAAATTACATCCTTCAATTTAATACGACCCCGTGTTTCCGAAGCTAAAATCGGAAATTACATCCTTCAATTTAATACGACCCCGTGTTTCCGAAGCTAAAATCGGAAATTACATCCTTCAATTTAATACGACCCCGTGTTTCCGAAACTAAAATTGGAAATTACATCCTTCAATTTAATACGACCCCGTGTTTCCGAAACTAAAATCGGAAATTACATCCTTCAATTTAATACGACCCCGTGTTTCCGAAGCTAAAATCGGAAATTACATCCTCGAGTAGAATACAACCATCACCATATAATATTTTCTTTTTGAAAATTTGTACTATTAATTAAAATCTCAATGTCGTACATATATTTCACTAAAATATTTAATTTTTCACGATATTAAATAGAAATGAACCAGATGTTTATCCATTGTGTTTCTTCTCTTAATTTCCGTTTCAAAGGTGCTAACTAGACATAATCGGTAATACATTTTCAGGTATTGACCTATCTTACTTTTCTGTTTGATATGACTTTATTATATCTCGATATATTAATTAACTATGAAAAGAATGTCTTTCATTAAGAATGAAGATAAATTTTTTTATAAAAAACAAAAAACTCAAAATATAAACAAATTTTATCTTGTGAGCAAAACTGATCGAATTTTGAACATTTTTAAAGTTAAAATTCCTCAGAATCAGATTTATTAGAATCACCAAAAAATTCCCGCCAATATCCCGGTGTAATATTCATATCTGTATTCCAGGTTTCTGTTTCATTGTTATCCTGAAGCTCCTCTCTTTGGACATCATTTCACAGTTGGTCATCTTCTGTGTCATCTAGATTATTACTGATGCCAGTTTTTAAGAAACCACCTTTACTCATTCTATTTGGTAAATAGTCCCATGCCTCTTTTTCTAATGTCGTTACTGTGGCCAGGCTAGGCCAGGCCAGGCCTTTTCAAATTAACTGTTGCAGTTTTTTCCAACCTGACCAAAGGATGTTTTTTCCTGGCCTCATCTTTATATGGCTTGTTAAGCATCACATCGAGTGACTGAGGAATACTGGTTAATCCATAGAAATAACTGTTTGGTACATTTTTCCTTCTTTAAATCTGTTTTTAACAGGTTCTGTAAGAGGGACACAAAACTGATCCCAAACTAACATTGGTAGTTTTCTTAGCATTGCATCAGGTCTTTTATTCCATATTTTATTTATCCATAATACTACACCATCTGGAGGGGAAATTTTAAAACTTTGTGAAGGTTTTGCATTTGAATATCACCATAGATGGCAGTTTCTCACCATTTTCTAGGCAACACAGTAGTACAGTGAAGTGAATTTTTTTATGCCCTGTCATTACATACAGTCTTGGCACCAACTTGGCTATGGTTCTATGTATTTTTTAATCATTTCACCTCAAGCAAGCCAATAAAGTCAAAGACACGAGGAGAAATAACATGAGAGGAAAAACACTAGTAAAGACAAAAAACAATAAAAGAACAGAAATTAAGAAGACAGAAGATAACAACTGACATTGATCATCAAAAATTTAATTGCAACGTTGACAGGAAAGCAAGAATCTAGAAGAGAGTTCCACAAACGGAAAGTGCAAGAGAATAAACTGTTCGTTTATAATTCTGCGATGAAGTATTGCAATTATTTACATTGCTCGGACTGGTCCTCATTTTTATTGTCATGTTCACGACGTTTCGGTCGTTGTACGCTCCGGCCTTCTTCAGGTGAGTGAAATTTCGAACCGAATCCTTTATTTCATTCTCAAGGACACATAACCCAGTGGATGAATGCGTTGGTTGGATCCAATGATTTCACCCAAAGCGTTGTGAGTTCAGTAACTGGCTACGGCGGTGGTGAACAAAAACTTGGAACTTTGAGTTAAAGGGAGATAACTGAGACATCCGGAAGAGGCATGGAACGTGGAACTAGAACAATCTACCCCCCCCCCCCGGTGGACGAAATAAAGGGTTCAGTTTGAAATTCCAATCACCTGAAGAAGGCCGGAGCGTACAACGATCAAAACGTTGTGAACATGGCAATAAATACGAGGACAACAACCTTGAACAATGTAAATAAGAAGCTGTTAGCAAAGTAGTTACAGTTACATCTAGCCATTTCAAATGTAAAATGATGAGACCTTACTGCCAATCTAAAACTGCACTTAAATTCATAAAATCTAGGTACTATAGAGGAAAGTTCATCAGAACACTGATCACAAAAGTATTTATAGAAAAGATACAGGGAAGTTACGCTATGATAGTGAGAAAGTGACTAAAGCCAAGATGTCATGTCAGGACCAACAATATTGCAGATTCTTTTTTGTATTTTTTCAAAAATCTCTAAACACATAGGCAGAAGCACCAGACCAAATGTTACGGCAAAATTCAAAGTATGGATGAATGATAGATTACCCAGCATGTTGAAAAACATGTTTTATCCATGTTACCAATTTGGTGTAGGGTAAAGCCATGTTCTTTACTCAAGTTGATAATAAATTGATTAAAATTCATTATTATGCAAATCAGATGGAAGTTTTTGAGATATCTTGATTTTTTGATGTACTGACAGATAGCCTCTTCATAAAATTTGTGCACCAACCATATGAAAATCTAAAAGTAGGAATATTATATTTGGTTGCTTTTGAAAATGGCTTTTGATGTGCACTGGCATTATAACATATCCATCTTTCCTCTGACTTTCTACCCAGTCAATTAGGTCTTTCTCAAGTAAAGGATATTAGCTATTTGACATTAGGCAGCAGTTTTAGTTTGTCTTTTTTTTTCTTTCAAAGCCTGATATTACATTCAGAAACACCAAAGTATAGAGCTGTTGCACAAAATGTTTTTTCGCTGCATATTCAATTGCTTTTAATTTAAATGATGCATCAAATGCAGTATGTTTGTTTTTCCTATTTGAATCTATCTTTTTTTGAAAATAAAATTGCTCAGTATTTTAAATATTTTTAAATTCACAAACATTATTGTAATATTTTGCAATTTAAAATTACAAGTGTACAATATTTATAGTGATATAATTGTTTGAGTTGTTTACATAACTATTTTATATTGTTTTTAAGTTTTCAAACTGAGCACTTTGTGTCACAAATGGAGGAATATGAAACAACCTTACAGCATGGGAAATATTACCCCATTTTTCAAGTAGAAAGAAACATTCAAAAATGTACATAATTTATACGATAGTTAAGTCTTTGCTGTAACATTAATCTTATCAAAACATGGCAGATCTTGTGTATTCTCTTTATTGATTTTTTAAAACCATTTTTAAGATAAAAGACGTTCAATTGTGCTGATTCTTAAAGAACAAATATTGGTGACATATCAAATACCTTTTGTAAACAATTGTTATCAACACCTGCCTTTGTGTTTTATTACCTACTAGCAGTAAACCCTGGCGTTGCCCGGGAGTAAACTTCATCTGAATGGAAGGTCATAACCTCCACACTCATTTTATACACGCATGTAAGGCTGAAGTCTAGTAGAACTGATGGCCGCCCACGTAAAAAACATAATGTTCACAAGTTGTCGGTATTCATCAGCACAACGGAAGAAAAAAATTGTAAGGCTTAAAAGGAAGCAATAGAGAGCCATGGTAGTATCAGCCGTTTGCCATTACTAAGACACCTCCAATTAAAAGTCGTTAAGTTCAATACGAACACAGGCCTTAGGAAGTTTTTGGTGAGTTGTGGCAGATGACTTTGTATTCCGATGGGATGGTTTTATTATCCCTGAGTATAAGACATTACATGAAGCCCTGTGTCAGTTGCAACGTAGTAAAACGCAACATCGTGAAAGGGAGACGCGTGTTTTGCCCAAAAGACGGCGCTGCCACTACCGCAAACAGAATCACATAACAGAAGTATGTGAAGGTGCCGGGGCGAGTACTTGTAAGTGGCGCAAATTTTTTTTGTAGTTTTTAATAGCTAGTTGAGGCGAGCATGAAGCGCAGGCAGCGTTACCTAAAGCAGCCCTCACGGTAAGGGGAGAAACACGCCAACGGTGTACGGCAGAGAATGCATATTATAACTCTGCATGCTGCTATTCTTTTATTATCCCACTTCTTTTTGCTGAGGCCTGAATTGCATGGACGCACTCGACTCCTCTGACAATTAAACGAATCCACCTTCCCACGTATTGGTTTTGTGTTGCAAATGAATATGGTTACGTGGTCGACATGTAAGTGCGAATGCAGCTATGGTGGGGTTTAAGAGATAAGGGAGCATCTGGTGAGCAAGACAACCTTTAATGAAATGTCTTATTAATGGCAAGTGGATACTACGATGACCTTTAAATAAACCGGGTTCAAAAATGAAGGAACTTACGATGCAGCTGGCATAAAGATGTGTACATTGCGTTTAAACGTAACCGACCATGACTTCTGCGTAGGTAATATTTTTTAGCTTTGTTGTAGAGTAAACGTAAATGTTATCCTTACTCTCGACTCGGGAGCAACCTACGTAAACTTGTCCATGGGCGAAACACTGTTTACCTAAAAGCAGACCCACGACGCTGATCGTCTGTTCTTGCGATTTGGCCATTGTTGTTGAGCCGTGCTCGCCGTACCCCAGGGCTTTCTGAAGCTCTGGCAGACGCAGTAAATCTGGAATTCCTCGAACGACGATTAGCGGTCTGCACAAGACTTTCTAAAGCTCTGGCAGACGCAGTAGCGCTGGCATTTCTTAAACGACGAATAGCGGTTTGTTGAGGTTGTTCCGAAACCCTGGAAGATGCTGTAGCTCTAGCATTCCTAAGACGACGCGAAGTGTTTTGTTCGGGGCTTTCTAAAGCTCTAGAACATGCTGTAGCGCTGGCATTCCTTAAACGCCGAAGGATTGTCTGTTTTGGGGACTCGGAAGCCCTGGTCCTAGAAACGCGTACTGCGTCCTGTGAATTCTGTACTAAATGCTCTTCAGTCTAGCGTGTTGTGATGACATTACTGATGCCAGCCTTTCAGTCCGTTCAGCGGTACTTTCCGTGGAGATGTGGGAAGCAGACCGTGAGGCCATCCAAGAAAGGCGCAACGAAATTTGCTCTGTGGTTTCACTTGCTCTTGTAGCGGAGGCAGCAGCCGTGTGCCGTCCAAAAAGTTTTCTTCTCTTAGGCGGCATTTTAACCAATTTTAAAAAGGCAAACGTAATAAAAGGTATGTAGGTTTTTTGAGTGCAAAAATACGTGTAGTCTAAACGTAGGCGGGTTAGAAGGATTCCAAAAATATATGTAACTGTATCAAAAGGGGATCGAAGATAAAAAAAAGTGAAGTTTAAAATATTCAGCTAAAGCTAAAACAGTAGTAGGTAATTTGGGAAGTAAATTCGATAAACGCGGAATCGGATGTAGTTATAACTAAGAAGTAAAAAACAAAACAGTTTGGATACGTAATCAACAACTTGCAGCTTCTGTAAGAAGTGAATGAAGTGAGCCAAGTGCGGGACAGTAATCGCAGAAGTGTGAACACGCGTGCGAGTTATGGTATAAAGAGGCGGTTGGCCGGTTGACCATGAGCGCACATACTAAGGTGACGTACGTACGCACGTACATACGCGTACGTAAGAGAACTGCTCGCGCGTATGATTGAATGGGCCCAAGGTTAAACGCTTGCAACCGTGCCAATGGGCTTGCAGCAAACTTGAACAGTTGACGCGATTGGTTAACCTCCAGCTGGGTTAGTCAAAGCAGTGCACAGTGGCGGATGACGTTTCAAAATAGTATCTGGCGACTTTATTGTATCGGTTTTTTTTTTATTGATAAATATGAAAGCTATGTAGTTCTTATCCCAAAACAGGCATTGCCTTTTTGATTTACGTCGTCACCGATGTAGCGCAGTCTCTCAAAGTCAACCAATCAGGAAATGGGATTTTCAAGCTTCATTTTTCTTTGAAAATATTGAACAGTCAGGAGATATGAGGTAGTTTTATTGATCAAAAGTTGAAAATACAAGTGTTTTAAACTGTAACACAGAGAGAGAGAGAGAGAGAGAGAGAGAGAGAGACCACCACCAGGTGGTTTTATTAATCAACGGTTCTAAAGGATTGGGAAGAAGGTACTAATTAGTTGGGTAGAAGGGATTCCGGAGTAATTTCAGAAATAAGTTTTTCTTTTTACTTAGTTGTTTCTGGGATTGAATTATTAATTAACTAGGTGAATTAATTCCAGAGTAATTAATGGACAGGTTCGTTAGGTAAAGCTTGTGATAAATGATGAATTGGATTTTGGGTGGTCTGCCGGGCGAAATCCAGCCAGAGCCCTCAGACGAGATAAGTGCTTTTCGCCGGGCTTAAGTAGACGTTGTCTGCGGAAAACCCAGCAGGGAGTCCGAATTCGATTTTAGTACCTCTTGAAAACTGGGTTCCCGCGGAGCTTCGGAGATCCGGCGGAAAATACATGGTGGTCCAGGCGATTTGCATATTAAAATTCGTGTGCGGTGCCTAAAAACTGTTTAGCTCCGCCTCTCTCTATATAAGCGGCCTGCATGCTTGTGTTGAGCAGATGAGATCGGATCGGAGAACGCGTCGGAACGGGAGAGAATCGGCAGAGAGAGAGAGAGAGAGACCGCAGATCAGAGAACGCGATGGAAAACGCTTAGTGGGTCTTGCTGCTCTGGCCAGTTGGTTGTATGCGTCAAAAAGTCCGAATCGTACCCAGAGATAGAAATCGAACCCGTGCGAATCCTGATAACTTTCTCAACAAAGCCGACTGCTTTATCGGAGGGGGCGGTCGAAGAACCACGACTTATCTCCCTTAGTACAGTCGAATTTCGACCGGCATAATTGTGTCTTTCTCTCTCTGTGACGTTCTGACCCAAACGAGTGAATCTCGTTAAGACAGTTTGTATTCGTGCAATTTCGTTAGTAGTGATATAAAAACAGTAGCCTTAAAGGGCTCTTTTTACAGAAACCGAAAGTATTGCTTATTTTTTTCTTTGTGCCCTTGCGGTTACTACAAGAGCCCCTCTGCACAAATAGCGATTTCTTTCAGCGTGGAGCCCAGCCATTTAATTCAACCTACCTCTGGGTCGTTCTAAGCGATCGATATACTGCTGTTTGGATCAAAAATTCACAACTTTGCGGATAGTGGTGGTTCCTTCAGTTCACCGGGTGGTTTACTTTTCGGCCAGAACCACCGGAGACAGAGCTGTAGCCGACAGGGCTTCTACGTCAGACACTTACAAAATTTGAAGCAATGTTAATTTCGTTTACTGATGAATGATGAAGAGATTTAAGTAGCACGAATTTAGATGAAAACATGCGAGAACTTTTTTGGGCAGCAATGCGCAGTAGTAAAATTATAGCGAGTAGGTGCCTTTTGCTACACGTAAACGGTATGAAAAGACATAACAGTCCCCCGGTGTCCCCTCGAATGAAAAAATGCAATCAAATGTGAAAAATTGGACAATTGGAGGAAGCCGATTTTGTCCACTTGGCTTAGAAGTGATGGCGTGAAGTGGCATGAAATGTGTTAGTGATTGGTCACTAATTCAATCCTATGCTTTAGTAGGCTAAATGGGCTACAAACACCTAAAAAGCAGCAGTTCCACCTTGTTTTTACTGATTTTTCTGGTAAAATTTGACATGTAGCTTTTGTAAATCCCTTTTAAAATGGCCTTGACATTTACTTTACTGTGGAAATGCAGAAAACATGGAAAGTAATGCATGCTTGCATTGGAAAATTAAAAGATCCTTTTTAAAAACCATGGTATGAGCGTTAAATCCTGAAATAAAAGTAGGTTACCTGAAACCCCTACTCCATTTGGGATGCTTGATGTGCGCATGCGTGACACCCCCCATTCACACATGATCTCGTATGACCCCGGAGCGTGAATGGGCCAATTAGCAGCAAGCATTACGCATCGCGTTAGCCACACGTGACTAACACTAATCTGATTGGCTTTTGGAACGCAAAGTTTGGCTGCAACAGAAATCCTTCATTGTGATAACTTTTGCATCAAAAACCAAAATATGGCCATTCTTGTCCTTTCTTATTCCCATATAAGCACTTAAATCCGACTTTTTTCTAAAATTCTGACATGAAAAGTGCCCATATCTGCTTGTGTGCAGTGAACACACATAATTACACACGCGTGCGTCCAATCAAAAATGAAAAATCGATAATATTGATTTAAATCAATTTTTGGCGTGGTCAAAACCTCTGCAAGACCATTAGCAGTAACTGTGTCAAATTTGGCTGAAAAATGTAGGAGATCTGATCAAACATATAAACGAACATAAACACATTTTTCCTTTTATATATATATGATTGATAATACTTCATTTAATAGTAAAAAAAAAAAAAAAAAAAAAAAAAAAGACGACGACGACAATACCGCTATTACATATGCCATGTCCCTTTAGGATGTGGTGGATTATGGCTCTCCACAATTTTTTGTCCTTTTTAGCCATTAGTAAAGTTTGTCTTTTTCCTCTCTTAATCCCTATCATATCAACCATTTACACAATCTTGTTAAGTAGGTTATGCACTGCTTTCAATGTCCTGTGAGTGTCACATTTTCTAAGCCCTCTTTCATTATTATATACCCTATAAATTTCAACACTCTTTTTGATGTTAAGTGTCCCTTTTGTTTACATTTTCTCTAAAACGTTCTCATTGCTCACATGTTCAGTTCATATTCTCAGCAATAAATCCACAATTCTGTTGCTTCAAGTCTTTTTCATCTGAGGAAATTATCCAGCATCACTGGCATATAGGATGATCAATATTAGATAACAGTCCAGTACTCTTAATTTTTTCTAACAAAATTTTCTTGTTTCTTAATACTTTCCTTAAATTTTGGAGGGCATCTTTTGCTATTCCAAATGTGCATTCAAATTTTGGTATCACATTTTCCATCATTTGTAAAAATCATTTTTTTTAGATATTTAAATTTTTGAACATGCTTGATTTGGGTCTTGGGTTGTCCCTTTTGCTAACAACCATATATTCTGTCTTATAATTGATGTTTAATCCTTTCTTTTCACTTTCTTGTACTACTTTTTGTAGGAGTTCCTGTAGTTTCCTTTCTGCGTTTGTTATCAATACTGTATCCTCTGCATATCTAATATTAAGATTATGACCTCATGGTGAAGGTTGAATAAGTCTGGCAAGAAGATATCCCCTTTTTAGTTTTGTATATTCATTCATTTTTGTATCTGTATGCAGGTAGTTTACTCCAAGTATAAATTCCAAATTATTTGAATATCCTTCCCAAATAAATCTAGCAGTTGAATGAGACACTTTTAAACACTTCTGCATAATCAAGAAAACATAAGTATATTTCCTTTTGCATTGCTAATATGCCTAAAGTAAAAAAAAAAAAAAAAAAAAAAAATTACTGATTAAGTTCTTTGAATGAATTGAAAGACTTATAGGCTAGGTCTAATCTTCTGAAAAGCTATCAAATTCTCTCAGTTTAGTGTTTACTTTGGTAAGACAATGCAGAGAGGGCTAATAACTGGTGGTGGGGGTTAAAAAATTTCTTTCAAATTTTTAGTTTGGGAAGGAGTGGTCAAAGTAAGTTGGTATTGCAAGTCCCTTCTGTTTTAACATGTAAATTGTGGAGGGGGGAGTGATATGAAGTATGGAATACTTATAGCACCTATAACTTTTTCATACTATATAGTTCATTGAATAAAAAAAAAAAAAATAAAAAAAAAAAAAAAATTGACTTATGATGTGATGAGGTGGTTAAGCATTAATTCTAAGCAGGAAAAGAAAAGGGTTAAGTCCCAAATGAAATATAGATTTCAAGACAGAATGGAGATATTTTCCTTGTTGAGAATGGAACCATCAGGATTTCTTCTCTCCTAAAGTTTATTTTTCTTTTCTATTGAGAGTCTAATATATGGACAAAAACAGATCTCTTTCTTGGGAAATTAGGAAAAAACATGTCACTCACGAACAGAAAAGCAGATGATAATTATATTTTTATTATGGAAACCCGATTTGAAGGTTAAGACTATGAAAAATGATCCGTCATAACAAATGATCTGGCCTGTGTCTCTGCTGAGATGGCTACCAGCCCAGGGATGGAAAACAGAGAGTCTCTTTCTGGAGAAATCAGGTAAACAAATATATTTTCATTGATGAAAACAGATTTGAGGAAATAATTTTATCTCTTTCTGGATAAATTAGGAAAACATTATTAATGAAAAGAGAAACAGATGGGGATAATATTTTCATTAACGAAAACAAGGAACGAACCCTTTTTCTTAAGGTTAAGGTCATGAAGATTAATCATGTCAAGCGAAGAAGGTGTTCTGGTTTGTGCGAAAAGAGTCAAAGAATTGAAATTAATGAGGAGAATAAGCAACACCCATTCTCCTACACATTTTAATAGTTAGATTTGTCACAAAGACTTATGTATCCTGAGAAGTAGGCAGAGTTAGAATACCGAGAAAGAAGGGTAGAGTTTAGCACCACCTGTGCAGAGTAACGGTGAGAGATGTGAAGCAGGTCGGAACTAAGGAAAAAACAATCCCTGTGACTACTCACAAGGTAGGTGGATAAGTTTCTAAATTTGGAAAGTTGAACAAATAAGTAAAGTACGTGAAGATGGAGAACAAAATAAGCCCTTGCTAAAATTAAGGTGAAAATTAAAGAATCACCAAATCCCAAGAACCCTTAGGACCCACATCAGTTTTGGGATAAAGTGCATGTAAGCAGATAACTTTGGTGAGCTCATAGACTCTGGGCTGAGATCCCACATTGAGTGCCTTTGAAATCCATGCCAGCTGCCAACCAGAATTTCTGATTTCAAGACTTTGAATCCAGCCTTCCCGAAGTCTAGACAAGGCCTAGTGTCACTAGAGTGATTGATATACGAAGGGTTAATTTTTGTTGTACCAAGAGCTATATGAAGAAAGCGAAGTTTAACCCCATGAATCTGGTTTTATTTTGTCATGAAGATATTTTATCATTAATATAGTACCCGCCATAGCTCGACTAGTGCTGCAAGACTACTATGACATTTGATCTTCTATTGCTCTGAGATCAATGTGGGCAGAGACAGTGTGGATTGAAGCAACCACCGACCAACAACCAGCTTAGACAAGCATTATCATTGACAAGTGCAGAGTTAGTCTATGATTAAAGTGTTGTCCTAAGACCCTGAGGACCAGACCACCAAACGTGGTTATACCATTGGGTGTAGGCAGTGGCAAAAGGTGTCACAATCTGACTTAGGCACAGGAAAGGTAACTGTCCAACCAAGTTTTCTTGAAGCAAAATGATGCCAGTTCAAATTTTATCAAGAGGCTATCTTGCATTACTGATCCTGCATTGTTTATTCATGGTTTCAGATTGGTGGTCTTAGTAAAAATTGCAATAATAAACAAATAAAATTTAAGATGAAAGTAAATGCTAAAAATTACTAATGAATATAAGTCATTTTAAAACTTGTAATAAATGTGTGAAATGTTAAACTAGCATTTTAAGATATATCTATTAATTCATGTAACAACTCTCATGGGTCAGAGATAGTATTTTAAAGAAACCATTTTAGTCAGCATCTCTTATTCTTCAGAGTACAAGTGGCATAGAATGAAATATAAAACATGTGTAATTAATTTCTGGGATTTAAAAGTTAAAATATCATTTATTCAATTTGGCATCTTCTTTTAACAGACTCATTAAGTTCCTGTTCACTGTACATTATTTAATGCATATTTTAGCAACGTTTAACCTTTGTGCCTGCAATAAAACTGTGTCAAAAGGATGGTTTTTCCTTTGATAGCACTATTACTTCACTCTCTTAGCAATATTTATTGTTTTAAAACTCAATGATATATGAAAATGAATTTATAATTTTTTTTTGTTCTTGGAGAATTTACAGTAAAAATATTAAACACTATTAGATTGTTTATTTACAAGAATAATCTCATATTTATAACCTTCTAAAAATGCGGACCGGCCAATGCAATGTTTATAATTTACCAATTTATAAAGAAATAAATATGAAAATTTTTTATTCATAAATTTATAAAGATTTACTAAATTATTAAAATATATGGACCAGCTATAATAAAATCTTTACTATTTACCATTTTATGAAGTTTGAATTGATTGGTAGTTTGCCATAGTTTTACTAACCATTCCAAACAACACAATTCATCAGCTTTGCCAATTGCTTTAGTCAAGTTGCTTAGTGTCCACTCTTCATTTTAGATTTTTTTCATCAGTCAATAATCTATTAGCAGATTTTCTAAGCATTTAAAAAAAAAAAATAGCAGTGATTTAAAAAGATTTTCCAAAAGAGTAGGAAGGGTGGGGGTAACCTATAATTGCTGGAGTTTCAGATTTTAGATTTCTATTGATTAGAAATCTTTGAAAAATTTGAAAAGTAATTTGAGATATAAAATAATTTGAGTAAAAAGTGTATAATGCCTAGAAAAATCATATTTATTTAAATTTTCTTGTTCATAGATAAAATTATGAATTAAAAAAAATTTTTCATAGTTATTTATCTATAAAATGCTAAATAATACATATTGCATTGTAGTTGGTTCACATATTTTGAAAATTTTGTAGGTTTTTATAAATTTTAGAATAAAAAGATTTTCAAATTTATTTCTTTATAAAATGACAAGTAATGAATTCTTATAAAATGGTAAATAATAAATATTGCAATTTATTTAGTTCACATATTTTTATAATCTTGTAAATAAACATTGCCAAGTGAGTTTAGTAGTTTTAATTAATAGTGGTGTCAACAGAAAAAAAAAACAAAAAAAAACATGTCCTATTGAAACATTTTTTTGTGGACACAAAGTTTAAACATTGCCTATATTTCTTAGTAACTGAAAGTGACTATGTACAATGGTATTTATTTAATAAAATACTGAGTTAGGAATATCCTTCATAAAATATGGCCTTATAACAAAAACTAACACATTTTTATAGTGAAATGCGGTAAAGTTTTAATTTTGATATGTGCAGAATAATTTCCAGTAGAGTCCAACCGAAATCAAGGCTTTGAAAAAAAAATAAATAAATAAATAAAAAGTATAAAACAGGCCAATTTGATTTTTGAATTTGATTTTAAATTTCTTTGGCATCTTCATAAAGAGTGAACATCCAAAGTCTCAATCTACAATGCTGTATATATTCCCTATATTCGAATCCATATATTTTCTATTTTTTTTTAAATAAATATTCCTGGAAAATATCATTCCAAAGCATAATTCAAGCAAACTTTTTTTTTTTTTTTTTTTTTTTTATATCTGTAAGAAAAAATAAATTTTGATATTCTGTTGAAAGTTTTAGAGAAAACTTTTTGAACCACAATTTATTTTTTTTTTTTCTTAGCCCAAGAGTGAACTAGAAAAAAAAAAAAAAAAAAAAAAAAAAAAAAGGCACAGGGTAAAGTGTATATATAGAAAAAAAAAAAAACGCAATTCCAAAAACTAACAAGAAAATTCCATCATGCTAGCTTTTAAATAAAATTGTTAACTGCCAAAGCATAAAAATGTTCAATAATTTAACAGGGAGAGGGCATCCAGGTGAGATTTTAAAATTAAGGAATTAATTAAAAGGGAGAAAAATAAAAATAAAATAATAATAATAAAAAAAATAAAATCGTTTTCAAAGACAATGATAAAAAGTGCAGTGATCATTGATATTTTTTTTTGTTATATTTTTTCAATGGAGAAGTTGGAGATGGAAAATCTGAAAGATCAATTTTTTCTTCTTTTCCTTTTTGTTTATGTTCTATACTTTTTTTATCATTGTTCCTGGAATCATCAAAGACTTTTGAGGGAGATTGTATTTTATTCTGGACCAGCTCAGTTGAATCCAAATTAATTTTAGAATTCAGGTTCTTTTCCTGACAGACTTGCTTATCTAAAGTTTGTAGATGACTGTCGGAATTTGGTAAAATTGACTCAAAGACAATTGTATTTTCAAGGGGAACAACTTCGGTATCCTCTGTGCTACCAAAATTAGGTTCTAACGTACAATTAGATTGCAATGAGCTAACATCTTCATTATCTAATGTCCAGAGATCATTTTGAGGTTTACCAAATTCTGAGTCTTTATCATTTGGGTCAACTGAAAGGGTCAGAATATTTTGATCCTTTTCAGAAGGTTTAGAAAGGTCTTTAATGTGAGATTCTTTTATTTCAAATGGAGATGAGCAGGTTTCGTTTTCAAAAAAAAGTGGCAATAAACTAGAGTCGGATGATGGGCTAGAATCTGAATTAACAACAGAGGAAGTTTTTTGTCTGTCCAACCTGAGTATTTTAGTCTTTGGTTGATAGGTACTTGCATCTTCTTGTGAGGCATGGCCAGAATCTCTTGATGGTTCTTCACTTGCGTCATATGGTCTTTTGTGAACGATCATATCATATAATATATATGCATTATTAAGCATTTCCTCATCGTTACATAAGCCAGAAATGGAATCATTAGAGGAGAGAAATTCTGGATACTCCTCCTGGATAAATGCAGATGAATTTGGTTGTTGACTGTGAGTATCCGTTAATAGATTTTCGGAGTCTTTCTTGTTGCACAAATCACCAGGTTTGTTGCAACCAGTTTTATCAAAAGATGAAGCAGCCAAAGTTTTACTTACAGATTGGCTTCTTTCATTGTCATCATCAAAAAGAGACGAGTCACTGTCGGATATCACCAAGACATCTTCACTTGCCATAGAGTTTTTTTCATGAGGCACTAGCTGGCTGTGCATTAAAAGACTATCAAGATCAGAATTATTTTTATTTTGCTGCCATTCCAAATTGTCCACAGACTTTCTCTGACTTTGCTTGACCAATTCCTGAAGTATTTCTGACAAAATATTTGAACTTTTGTCAAAGCCAACCCCATGCACAAGTATATTTTCAAGTAGCTCTTCAATAAAACTATCATCAAGGAAGTTCTCAACAAACCGAGTGCTTTGATCTGAATAGCGGAGCTGAAGAATCCTCTTTATGTACCGAGCACCTTCACGGATTTTCTGAGCATACGTAAGATCTGCATTGAACTCAAAGTCTTCAGCAAAGAGATTAATGCCCGACATGGAGCGATATTTCATAAACCAGTGATTTTTCACCAGTCGCATTTTGCAGAGCCGAGTGGCCAAGTGTTCCAATTTGTTCTCTGCCTGACTCAGCTTTTTCTGATAGGCAGAAATCTCTTTGTCTTTACCTGTAAGTTGAGACCTTAACTTGTTCACTTGTTTTTGGAGGGATTCCACTAGACGTTGATTTTCTTTCAGATAGGCAGATATGTACTTCTTTTTGTCGATGCCTGGCAATTTGAAATTAACAGAATTCGTCATGGAGTCAACATTCTTCTTTATGAACGACTTTGGCAATGTGTAAGGTGTATTGAGAAATTCTTGCAGCTGTGTCCCTTTTAATTTGTCAGCCTGTACGCCGAGTCCAACCCAATGGCCTTTGATGTCTTGCAACTGCACACAGTCATCTGCCTGCAGAATTCCAAAGAAACGCAGCCACTGGGGAACAACTTTCACCCAGCAAAGACGGTATTTGTTGCGGAGATTTAACAGCAGGATCACATGCCTGTTTGTCAGTTGCATCTGACAACCCGAGGAAGGCACGAGGGGACCTGTCACCAACATATCCTGATTAATTCCCCATTTCCTAAAGTCCTCCCACTCTGAAGAGGACTTGGCAGAGTAAAGTTTTGATACTGGCTGGTAAAGACTTTTCAGGTGGCCTAACCTGTAGGCCTTGTTGATGTAACGCCGAACTTGGGTTGTCAGAGTAAATATTGATGGGGGTAGAAATTGTGCGAGATCTGGGAAAAGGAATTTGAGGATTACTGGCAGATTGTTTGTTTGTTTAACTTGATGACTTTTGAGATTGTCAACAAGTTTTCCGTACAAGGCATACGTGAGGGTGAGGTTGCATAGTTCAGGGTACTGGGACAATTTCAAAGTACCATTTAATATGTTGGGCAGAGCATCTATCACACTGTTGGCAATTGCACTCGTTCTGTCAGCCTCCTAAAAAGAGAAAAGAAAAACAACAAATAAACCAACAACAGACACATGAACAATCCATATACATTGACTAATGATATGAAATATCTGACCAAAGTATGAGAGATGGAATATTTCTGAAGAATTAATAAATTTTATTTTTAATGCAACATTATTTTTTATTATGCTAAATGTTATTTTTGAGGATAAATGTGTTTGAATAAAGATTTAAACAATCTCCTCACAGATGAAAAGAAAACTGATGGCAACAGAAATGTAGTTCTACAGAAGTATACTGAGAATTTCATGAATGGAGCAAGTAATTTTTTAAAGAAAATGTCACGAAAAAGAACACTTAGGATCAGGAAGAGACAACTGAAATTCCTTGGACACATAATGAGAAAGGTAGGGGCTTGAAAAAACTAACATGCACAGGACATATTGGGAGCTAGGGAAAGGCAAGTGAGCAACAAGTAATTTTCTTAAAAAAAAAAAAAAAAAAAATCAACAAAAAGAACACTCGGAATCAGGAGGAGACAACTGAAATAAGAGGAGGGGGTGGGCTTGGAAAACCTAACTCTCACAGAGCATATTGAAAGATAGGGGAAGACAGCAAGACACCCAACAGACAAGTTTGTGTGAATGAATGGTGGAACAGAGGATGGGAACATTAGAAAAGAGAGAAAAACTACTAAGGGCCAAAATAGATAGGAAGTTATGGAGGGCTATGATCGCCCATGTCCTGAAGGGACACTGCTCATAGAAGAATTGCATCTACCTTATTCACTACTGAGAGAGAGAGAGAGAGAGAGAGAGAGAGACCCCCCCACTTCCACAAAAAAACAAAAAAAAACAGGTATCTGCTCAAACACATTTATCTGCAAAACTAATGTTTAAAGTAATGAGTTGGATATTGAAATTTTTTTTATTTTCTTCTTGACGTTTCCCCTCCTATTATGTGAGCATTATCAAAACATAACTGAAAAAAAAAAAAAAAAAAAAAACTAATGAAGACTTGTTACCATGTCAACCCTACTAAAAAATGCTGTTGCCAATTTGAAAGATTTTAACAATGAAAATTTAAAAAATATAGCCATAAATAAATCGATGATATTTGTACATAGGTAATGTTAAAATAAAATTTAAATATAGTGATATAGACACATGAAAATGAAAGTTTATGACGAGAAAAATAAAGTGCATATAGTCAAAGAAAATAGTGAATACTTACAATTAAAAAATATAATTCATATATTATTTAGGCATGAAGGGAAGTATAAAATTCAATTGATTTGTTTATGGCCAATCAACCCTTTGAAGTTTATTTAAAGCTAGAAAATGTTTTTAGATTGCAAGAATTGATTTTTATTTGTTTTTTGGGGGATAATAGTAGTTTAGTCTTACTAATTAAGCCATGACTAATGGGACAGGAGGTGGATTCATTTTGCACATAAGTAAATTTCATGAACCCAACAAGATTTAGAACTTGCCTCTCCAATTAACAATTCCGAGCCATTATCCATCAGACAACCCACACATCTAAGCTTACGGCAACTGGTATTCCCAAGCGGTCACCTATCTAGATACCAATGAAGCTTGATGTTGCTTAACTACAGTGATGTGATATGGCTGTAAGCTAGTATAAAATTTAATTAAAATTTGATACTAAAGCCAATTCAATAATTCTTCCAGAAGATTGATGAGGAATAACTTTAACCATTTTAACGTAATTTTTTTTTTTTTTTTTATATATTATGGCTTGTATATGGGAATATAAAGAATCTGATCTGTGTGTAATACTTTTCTACATCAAAAGTGTCCACCACACAGAGATTGGTGAATTGCTAATTTCTCTGTATTGGACACTACTGGTGATGTAATTAATAGAAACGCAATGTGCCTACACTTGAAATATTGTGTGAAAGGAACTTTTAAATTGCCATAGGGTCTGTAGATAAATAAACTTTTAAAAAGGTAAGAGATTCTTTGTTATGGCTGGCGCAACACAAAGTAAGATGAAACAGATTCTTAGAAATTAAAGTTGAAGAACAGATTACATGTAATAACGAAAAGTGGATTTTATTTAACAATATATTTTTATAAACAGTAGGGCTGAGGTTTAAACAATATACGTTGGGAATTGCTAACAAGTTAATAAGCATGTGAGAGCCCAAAAAGTAGTTGGCTTAACGTGTAGCTATATGAGGGAGTGGGAGAAGAAATCCAATACAGTTAAGATTAAGGCGACGGATGGGAATTTGTCGCTAGTCAAAGAATCATATCATTTTCTTCTTAGAGAAGTAGTTAGATATTCACATGTATATAAAATAAAGGAGTTTGGTCAATAATATCAAGGAAAAAAAAGGTGAAGTATTTACCAATAGCCTTTTCTTTACAAGGACTATTGGAACTTAGATTCTTTCAGTCGAAGCTTTGTTTATGAATCAAAAGGACTAAAATCGACCTCAGTAATGTGGCTGTGGGATCAGGAGGCAACTGGTTAGTTGGTATGAACTCCTGTTTATATATGTTTTTTGTACCCTCTAGAACACAGTAGAACTTTCTAGAGACTTCTAGAAAGTTTCATTCTATTATTATGAAATCTAAAGGGATGGGAGCTTTTCGTATGGTAAAAAGGGCATCTAGTAGCTACAGATTTAAGCCATCATTTTAAGTTAGATTTTGTATTTTATAGTATAAGCGTAAAGAAGTAGGACAAAATTGGGCCACGTAACATCTTAAATATATGAATGTAGAAATGGTGGAGATTGATGGGTTAAACTAAAATTAAATAACAATTTCATTTATAGCAAAAAGACAAGATGGAAACAATTAATCCTGCAGCAATATATCCTCTCCATTACATGGCAGTGGTTGTAAGGACCAGGCAATTTCTTTTCTATTTAGCTCATAAAGAATTTGAAATGTTATTGGTCCTGACCTGACATCTCGGCTTCAGTCACATTCCCCACCACCATAACCTAGCTTCCTTGTGCCTTTTCTATAAATACTTTCATTGTAATTCTTCTGTTGTACCTAAACTTTATAAATTTAATACCAGTACAATAGAAATGGCTATATGTAACCTTAAGTTCTATACTAACAGTTTCTTTCTTCTCTCACTTCTCACTTGTGGAACTCTCTTCTGGCTTTTTGCTTCCCAGTCAATTTTGATTTTCAAAAAATTAAATGCAATGTCAATCATTATCTTGTCTTCTTAATTCTTTTTTTTTCTTTCTCTCTCTTTAATAGTATTTTTTTTATCATCTTTTTTTATGATTCAGTAACCCCTTGAGTTTTCATGGTAATATCGGCCACAATCAACCAGCTCCTCACATTGACAAGGTCCACCTTCAAACCCAGGATACATTTAACCAGCTGGACACTGTATGCTGAATAGACAACAAAGTCGGTAGACAACACACAAACATCAACATTGCAAACAAAGTGTGTCTCCTGTATCATGGCCACATTTTCACTGAAGGACAAGAGATCATGAAGCAGGCAGGCCACTTTACTCGGATCTCTCAAGCCTCTTGCATTCAAGCTGGCTAGCCTGATAGACATTTTTCAAGTGAACTCCCTTAGAAACAGACTGGACAGAAATCTGCAAGGGCCAGGACCCTGACGATTGTCCCAGGCTACCAGTACTTATATCAGATGTAATTTGTCTGTCTGTGACAATACCACTGATGTCTGCGTGAATGTTAGTTTCAATGCCCTATATAGAGGGGTAGAGAAGCACTGGCACACTCCCTGAACAAAGTTACATTAATTTCTTTAATTCCAGCAACTCTACTCGTGCCATCCTGAGTCCTGAGAATGCGTCTTTCGCTCTTGCTAAAAATCCCAATGGGAATGATTGCAAAATACTTTCTCTTCCCCAATTTATAAACAGAAGCACACAAATGCATGCTGGGATCTCTTCCTAGCCAATAAGATAGGACACTTGTTGGTGTCATCTGACTCTGTCCCGGTCTGTCTTGCCATGAAGTTAAAATGCTACATTCTTACATCCAAATTTGCTAGTGTGTCAACCATGGCATTCTATATTAGACAACCAAGTCATAATGTAGAAAAGGGACTGGTTTTAAACATTCCTTGATCCAATGAGAACAGCAGGGCATTTAGTTTGAGCTGGTGGCTTAAGAAATTTTTCCTTAAGTATAAGATTTATTTATTTATTTTGAGGAGTTGTATTATTGTTTATGTAGATTGTAAAAGCAAACTTTTGGGTCTGTAAATCACTATACAAATTGACCGTGGAAAACTAAAAGCTCCTTCTGACCAAATTTGCCAAGTTATTTTTTTTTGTTTCATCCTTTTCCATACAATAAAGGAAAATGTGTCTTATAAATCATTAAGTAACATTTTTAAGCTTATTTCTGAGTTTCATTTTTTCAACATAGAGGATGCATGCTCATATTTTTGCAAATATAGATTTGAAAAACTTTTGCAAACATTACACACCCAGATCAGACAAAGAATCAGCTTTAAAGGTTTTGAAACTTTCCTAGAATGATTTTGTTTTATCTATCTATATTTCTGAGATGATTACCTTATAAACATTGCGGTTGATGCCCTTCAGCTTTCGTCAGGTAATGCTTGTTGAACTCGGTAACTTTAATGGAAATTTGAACCAAACTCTTATTCAATCCCTGGGTCTAGATTGAAAAAAGAGTTTGGTGAGACCTGTAAATAGCGTGAATGTTTCTGTTTCAACATTATGTGGGTCATAGTTTTTACCAGAAATCTTAATCTCTTTGTTTTGTTTAATACTTATCAGTGTCCACAACAAAAATACATATTTTCATTTATTTAACTTTCAACACATCCTATTATCCTCAGGTATGGGTCAAAATGTTATTCTAAGTATTTTCAAAAATAGTTCACTTAATTTTCTTCCAAAATTTCTAAAAAAAAAAAAAAAAAAAAATTTCAATAGGCCTGCAGTTCTGGCTCTCATTTGCATCATGAGCAGGCCTAGAGTATAGTACACCACGGTGTCAACCCCAATTCTTAGTTTGTGAACTTTTTGCCATACTACTGTTGTTTTGCCTTGCATATATTGTTTGCTTGCTTTATATTATTTTTTTGTCCTGTTCTTTTCTTGTTGTTGTTTATTGCAAACTTTGTAAATTCTGTTTGTTAAACAATTCTGTCATTTATTTACATTTAACCATGGCCACTCACTCTACATGGCCCATGATTTAACAACTCAATAATTAGCAAGAAGTCACATTTTCCTGGTAAAAAATAAAAGTTCTCTACTTCGAAAATAATTAACTGAAAATTTTCACTTCATAGTGAATATGCATGGCTGAAAGTGTGGGAAGTCTCTCTCTCTCACCAACTCTCCCTGACATCGATAGCCAGCAAAATGCCCCTCCTGGAGACAATAAAATTAGCCTATACATACCATATGCACTGTGCTATTCAACACTATAAAATGAAAAAAAAAAAAACTTTTCTCCTGGTGAAATGACAGCTGATTTGATTTTCATTAAGAGAAAGAAACAGTCTAGCTTTGGTGAAGTTACAGACCAACATAGCAAAAAAACTGACTTGACCCAGTATGGAATGACAGTGATCCCCAGACACCCTTTTGAGCCAACTTAACCACATATAATGTGAATATGTTGCAACACCATCACAAATCTGGACTTACTTAAGTTAGGGTTAACTTTCCTGGTTAAAAATAGTCCTATCCACCCCCACACAATCTATACTTTGCAATTTTTTTAAGATTCAAATTTTCTGAACTGCTTTTTGCATCCACTTGCCCCTCTCCATTCTCTAACACCAACAATTAGTTTTTCCTCAGATTTATGAGAGAATCTAGCTTGTTCCTCACAGATGATGCATTATATCCAGCTTTTGGTTAAATTCAGCAATTAATTCTCCTAGAATTCTCAGACATTGCTTAATAATCATCTTTGATACTTCTTTTCTTGGAACTCAATCCTCATCAGTAATCACAGATTTTAACAATCCAAGCAAAGCAGTCAAATTGGTTTTGGATTTCAATATCTCATGATCTCAATTTGATTATATTAATATCATTGTAACCATATTTTTTCTTTCTTCTTAAACATGCTGCATCCTAAGATATTTTTTTTTTTTTTTTTTTTACAGTAAGGTTCACCTTGTACAAGGCCTGGAGGCCACTTAAGGTAGAGTGTTATGTTAACATTAAGGTTTTTTTTTTTATATACATAAGAGGGGAACTTATGGTTAGCTCTAGACTTGAACAGGTTAAAATTGTAATGATCGGGGGGCACATTCTCCACAGGGCAGGGGTTGGTGTGAAGAAGCTGTTTGAGTGGAACTCACTTCTCACTAGTTCCATATGGAGGGAATGTGGGCGGTTTGCTAATATGTAAGTGGCATAGCAGGTCCTAGCCGTGAAGGTTAAACCTGGCAGAACCAAAGAATGTAGTTCATCTGAGCACTTTCCATGGAAGTAGTGATAAACCAATGAGAGACTCGTCACAAAGATGCTTTCGAAATCTATCAAGTCTGGAAAGTGAGGACCAAATATGGCAATAGTACTCCATTTTCAGCCTGATCTGGCTCTCATAAAAGAGGATAGCATGAGTTATCAGGTACTTACTGGAGCAGTACAGAGAGTCAATCATTTTATCTGCATCTTTAGTGATAGATTGTATATAAGAATTCCACTTGAGATTGATTGTGAGTTTAGGTCCAGTATTCTACCAAGGCATGGTGCCTCCTTGATGGGACATCTGTTCATAGTGACTGTTGTTAGTTTGGGGTCAGATTGGCAGTGATGAAATGTAACTAGTTTGGTCTCTGAGCCATTAAATGTAGCCAGCCATTTTCCTTACTGGAAAGTTAGTGTTAGATCGGAATAGAAATCAGCTGCCAATTTCTGACTGTCAAGTGTTTTAGAGATGCACCTGTATGTCATTGTATCATCAGCATAGATGTTTACAAATGAGTGTATTTACTCAGTATATTATTAGACAGATCATTGATGTAAATCAGAAAGAGGGTTGGCAGAAGTGACCCCTACATTGACTGACAGGGCCCAGAAGACTGGCCATTAATAACTATCTTTAGGGATCTACCTGTTAGGAAGGATTTTATAATTGAGGAAACCCTTCCAGTGATTCCATATCTGGAGAGCTTGTGTAGCAAACCTTTGTGCCACATCTTGTCGAAGGCCTCCAAGATATCTAATGCTATGACCCTCGAGATGTCTAAGTCTGTGCGTAATGGTAGTTGGTACGTCACCAGTGAATCCGTTCCATTGAAACCTATACTGCTCATCGCACAGGAGGTTGTTCCTATACAGGTGCCTGACGAACTTCTTGTTGATTAAAGCCTCAAAAGGCTTACTGATGATACTGAGGAAACTAATGGGTCTATACTGGAAGGAGGAGGATCGGTCGCTTACGTTTTTGAAGACCGGGCATATGCATGCCACCTTTTACAGGTTTGGGAATGATTTCTCCTTCAAAAAGCAGTTAAATAACTTTGCTAGGATCAGGGATAATTCTGGGTTGATATTCTTAAAAACAACCACTGAAATTTTGTCTGGGGCAGTGGCTTTGATAAATGAGTATATTATTGTGATTGTGCTCAGTGAGATGTGAGACAGGGATGGCCTTTGTCACCTAACATTGAGTTTGAGGCAAAGATCAAGGCAAAGAGCTGCGCCTTGTCTGTCAAGAAAGACATGACCTTGGGATCATTTATAATAGTGGGCACAGCTGCTTTACCTCTGTTCATAATTTATTTTCAACCTTGGCCTTGACAGCTTGCACATAGCTGCACTTGGCATTGTCCAGAAATCTCTTACAGCGATTGCAGGCAGTTCTGAAAGTAGTAAGGGCCAGATTACACAACTCCTTGCGATAGATACTGAAGTAGCTATGGCTGCAACACATTCAAGGGTGAACCAGGATTGTTTAGTTTTTGCTGGAATTTTGGGAATATAAAACTCCATTCCAGATAGAATCCATTCAAAAATAAGGGCAGCAGTTTTAGGGGCATCATGTTTGAAAAAGGTTGGGAAAGGCACTTCCACTATATAAGACCAAAAGCAGTCCCAGTCTGCTTTAACATCATGAAAAACTGTTCCATGGAATGACAAATAAGGAGATGTCATTGCTTTGGACTCAACCTGAACACTGACCACTGACTAGGGAATGGTCTAACATGCCTATGAGGGGTAAAACTTTTGCTAAGTATTTAGGACAGAGCAGGATGTTAGAAAGAGGTCAAGAAGGTTTGCCTGCTGTCCCTGTTGCATTCAGGGCTCAGGTGAGTTCTTCAATGATCTGGGTTAATTCATACGTGATGGAGAAGTTGCTGCAATATCTCCCTTCCTCACTGGTTTTGTTCAAGTGGACTAACCAACTCTCTATGGTGAATATTGAAGTTACTGTGAATGTGAAAAGTTGGCCAAGGGAAATTTGGTGAGGATATTGTCAATCCTGATATTCCATTGAAGATTACTGACCATTCATCCTGAGGGTGATACATAGCTAAGATGAATTTGGTACTATATATGTGCCATGCAGAAGCACATATACGGAAGATCAGGGTCCTCGTTTCTTTGTGCCCCTGCTACAGGGAAACCCATCCTTGATGTAGGCACTGAGTTCATAGTGATTTAAGAGGTTGCATTTTGTTATAATAGTTGAGTAGGCCAGGATTGTGAAATCCTGCAATGGAACTGAGGCATTGATACTTGCTTCAGACAGGAACAGGAGGTCAGGTTGAGACTGAAGAAGATGGAGTTCCACTTCTGGAAAGCAGGTTTGATGTTGTTTAACTATGAGATCCTATGAGAACCAGTGTTTCAATGCGACATAGACGTAAACCTTAAGATATGCGAGTACAAAATATATAAAGTTAGGTATGAAAGAAACTTATTTTTTTCATTATTGCCATAACAATGGCTGATAATCTTACCTTTTCAATATCTACTGTATCTTCAGTGTTAATTAAAACAGCCATGATGAACTGAAAAAGAGAAAGAGATGAAAGACAGAGGTGCATGAAAACAAATTTAAAAAATTATATTAGGCATATACTAATATATAATAACTATTAAACTTGTGAGAAATTTTAAACTATGAAATTCATGCTTATATTTAATTACCAAAGATATATGAAGAGCTTACAAAATATTTTTAAAATATCTTCTGAATAAATTTCAGTAATGTTTGGTTCATTTAAAATTTTAATTATATTTTATATATATTTTTATTATATTATATTTAAAACAATTTTCATTGTGGTAATTAAGTAAATTAAACAATGTAAATGCGTATAAGAGGGTAGGCTGAAAAGTTCATAGGCTGAATATGAAGGAGTGATGTCAGAGCTGTGAAAACTTGCATGCATTAATTTCAACTCTTATTAATAACTGCATTGTTTATTTCCAGGCAAACTGACACCAGACTATCCATCCTGTTGGGGGGGGGAAGACATCAAAAGCAGTTATTATGTCATCATCACTGTGATAATGGTTCCCAGCCAAGTGTTTTTTTTTTTTCCTGTTGGAAAACAGAGGATAGCCAGATGGGGTCAAATCTGGAAAAAAAAGGAGGGTGATCAACTAGTTCAAAACCATAATCATGCACAGTGGCCATCAGTGTTTTCCTTTATGGTGGCAGTTGCAAGACATCCAAATCTTGGGTCACCTTCAAGACTCTCCTTTGTCCTAAATTCAGCTGCCCACTTTTGCACTATTGATAAAGCTGGAGTACCATCTCCTAATTTAGCAACCATGAATGTCCTTCGGGATAAACCCTTTTCTGTAGGTACTCAATAACATGACGATGCCAAATGTTGTCCATTTTCAAGAGGAGTTGCTACTAGTTATTTTTTAAGTCTTCTTAATAAAAGCAGTTGAAATTAAAGCATGCAAAATTTCAGCTCTATCATCACTCCTTCATAGTCAGCCTATAAACTTTTCAGCTCACCCTCATATGTTGAGATGTGTATAAAAATACAGATTTTAGTTTTAATTAAAAAAATAAAATAAAATAAAATAATAATAAAAATTAAAATGTAAGTGTACACAACATAAATACTGATATTTTTGAAAATAAGTCTAACCTTGTTTGACCTTTTCAAAGTTTGTTAGATGTTTCATTATTATTGATAAATAAACCAAACTCAGGATTTAATTTATACTAATGACAACCAATAATTAGTTAGACATGGCAATAACAATGATATCTGTGTGTCCTTAAATAAAAATAAAAAAAATTTTTCAACTACTCAAAATCATTTTTATAAACACATACCCATTCAGATCCTAATCAAGAACAAGGACCACTTCCCACTTAAGACATACAAGCAGTTGTCACATTGCAGCAAGCTACCTGACATAATGTCTCCTCAAAATTCACAAAGACAGTATTCCACTCAGGTCAACTGTTAGCTACCAAGACTGTATACCATCCTTGGAGTCACTTTCTTGTAGGTATAACTGACCCATTAATAGGAAAGTCACTATCAAATGTCCGAAACTCCACCCACTTTGTGGAAATAATCAAAGATGCTCCCATCATATCCAACCAGATTTTTGAACCTGGATGTGGTGAGTTTGTTCACCAAGGTACCCACAGAGGAGGCACTATCAATAGTCAAGACAGATTGGCCCCAGATTAATCCCTAGGAGAACATACCAGTATATCAAAAGATAACCTGATAGAGATGCTGATTTTGTGTACCCAAACAACACACTTCAGAATAGGTTCAGACATATATTGGCAGGATGAAGGCTTAATAATGAGCTTGCCATTATCACCAGCAATGGCTGATATATACAAGTACTTCAAAGAAATGGCATTAGAATCCACATCAATAAAGCCCATTCTATGGCTGAGACACTCAATAAGATCATCGATACAGTTCACAATGGAGAAAGAAAACAACAATAACAAATTAGCATTCCTAGATGTACTAATATGTTGAACAGAGCAGAGGTTGAAGACATTTGTATACCGCAAGCCAACATTCACCAGACAATACTTCAACTCCCACCAACCATACAGTGTAAAGAAAGAAATCAACTGCTGCTTACAACATTGAGCAAGTCATAAATAGTGACCCAGAGACATGAACAAGAAATGGTCAGTATAAGCAGTACTCTACAAACTATGAAAAACTACTCTGGGTACATGACAACAGCTCCAACAAACTGAGATAGAAGGGTGCAAGAGGATAACACTCCAAAAACAGCCTCAATCTGCCTACTATACGCGAAGGGATTATTGGAAAAGATACAAAAGATCTGTGGTCCGTATGACATCAGGACAATCTTCAAAAGTGGTTCAAGACTTCACAGACACCTCCTCAGAGTAAGACCTCCTATAGAGGAGAATATGACTAAGGACTGTGTGTACGCTATCACATGCAGATGTAGTAAGAAATACAAAGGAGAAACAGGCCGTCCCTTTAAGATAAGACTATAGGAAAACCGTAAAGCCATAACACAAGGGGAAAAAATCAGGCATATGTATGGAGGGAAAGGGGAGATCACTACCCTGTGTCATGGGGTTGAAATAATACACAAGAATATCACCGGAAAATAGAAAAACTTAATGAATCAGCAGATATGCTAGGCCACAAAAATCTCTTAAGCCGGCCAAACATAGAAATGAATACAATATAGGGTGCTAGAGAAAAACAATAACAAAACTGTGATGTGAGCTCTGGTAAAAAACATGATTACTGAGACATTAGGTTTTGTTTATAAGTCTCAAAAATTTATACTCTGATGTCTTCAAGGACACATGGCCCAGTGGATTAAAAAAGTCAAGCAGTGACATGACTCAAAGTGTTGTGAGTTCAATACCTCAGCTGTCAACAGAATTATGTTAAAGGGAGATAACTGATATCGAGACATCCGGAAGAGGTATGGCATGTAGAGCTAGAATAATCTACCTATGGTGGATGAAATAAGTGTTCAGTTCGAAATTCCAATCACCTGAAGAAGGCCAGAGCCTACAACGGCCAAAATGTCATGAATATGGCATCGAAGATGAGGACAACAGTCCGAACAATGTAAATTATTATTTTTTAAACTTACAGTGCATTTTCCTACATTTTTTGTCAGGATGACAACTTCACACTAACAAAAATACATATTCACAAATGTTTCTGTGTAATTTTCGATTGTCAATAATTAGACCTAATGTTACTATTTGTATTTTGCAAACCTTTTTTCCTGAAATGCATTGAAAAATTTATTTGAAGCAAAAACATAAAATTCAGTAAAAAAAATAAATAAAAACTGTCAAACGTTATTTTAAAATCAAAAAGCGCTATTTAAAAACAAAATCCTGACAAAGTGATTTTCAGGAGAATTAAGTAAAGAATTTCATGAAGCTACTACTCTACTTAAATGAAATATTTAAAAAATCTGAATAGTTTAGAGATTTTAGAACAAACAAAAACGAAAACGAAAAAAAAAAAAAATAATAATCTGGTCATATTCGTGATGATGGTAAAAAAAAAAAAAAAGAAGTTTAGTTTAACAACACTTTTTCTCTTGTTTAAAAAGCTGCTTGATAGAAAGCCGTTTTGAAAATTTATTTTTAAAGAAAGCCCTTTCAAGGTGTGTTATTGTCCTTTGAGGTGGACCTCTTCCCTAAATTACAGGTAGAAATAAAAATTAAACTTTGTCTTTCTTTTCAGACGAATGAACTCACACACACACAAAAAAAGGAATTCTGGAAAAAAAATATAGATGTGAATTTCTTTTATTATGATGTAAAAAAATGATTTATGACATATTTACTACTTCTTCGAGAAATTAATGGTAAAACAAAATTCGTTAATAAGCATTCTTACTTAATTCCTATATTTTTAAACATAAAATAAAATGTTTAAAGTTAAAACTAAAATTAAGTTTTTTTTTTTTTATGTAACTCTCAAGTGTTCTACAAAAAAAAATTGCCCTAAAAAAAACAAAACTGTTTTGAGTTGACATTTGATTTTTTCACTTGTATTCCAATGTTTCCCGAAATAATAAATAAACCTGATTTCAATTTATTCATTTTATTTTATTGCTTTTTTTTTTTTTTTTTAAATCTATATACCAGATGTGGTGGTTAGTTAGGATGAAAATTTCGTTACTGTTTTTATTTCATCTTTAAATAACCGAAGAGGGGTAGGCATCACAATTTTACTAAAAAATGAAAGATTTCCAAAGATACGAATGTTATCTTCATTCAAAACACGTAAAAAAAAAATTAAAAAATTATAGTCACTGCATAAATAGAAATTTAAAAAGGCTTCAGTTTATTTACATTCGAACATCCGAAAAGACACAAAGTAAAAGGTTCAGTTTTGCATTTCTGGAAATCGAAACTCCGCTCTAAAAGCTTGTTTTTTTTTTCTTCTCGTAAATGAAAAAAAGAAAAAAGAATCCTAACGAGATGAAGGTCATATTCATCAGGCAACAAAGCAGATAACATTTCACAGGAAAATACAAATTCCCCCCAAAAGTACACCAAGATTGCTAAGCCAAGTAGAAACACTCGAACCAGTGTCAGCTTTGGTATCTTTTATTTTGGCAATCATTCGAATTATGATATTTGCCAAATTCAGAATTTAGAAAATTGTCAAGTTACTGTTAAAATTTTAAAAAAAATTGATATTTGAGTAGAAAAGTAAAAAAGAAAAAGTAGAACTTTCTTGAAGGCGCAGAGAATCAAATGCTAAAAAAAAAAAAAAAAAAAAAAAAAAAATCATGTTATATATCTTCTTAATACTTAATGATCAATTTTGTTTCTTATCTCTCCAAGAGCATCAAAAAAAAAAAAACTTTCAGTTTACTTTCTTTCTCTAAATTTTTAGACCAAAAATAATGTCCATATTTTTGGAGCTCCGGGGTGGGGGGGCTTATACAGAAACATTAATTTTGTTAAAAAAAAAAAAAAATATATATCAAATTTCAACCAGATTAAATTAAATTAACTACAAACATTAAATGTTTTTCTGTAACAACGAAAAACATGATTTAAAACAAGATATTTTTACTTTATCGAAAAATTCTGCCGATTTTAGAAAAAAATAAGAGAAAAGAATAGTTTCAATAATTCGCCGATATTTTTTACTTTACATTTTAGAAATAACTAATCTCAGAACTGCTGCAATATTTTTTCTACAGAAAGCATAAAATTTGAAAGTCGCGGTAGTTTTTTTTATTTATTATTTACCTGGATTTATTTAGGTATTTTCTTTCTTAATGACATTTTTAATAATTGTGAAGTTAAGAATTTTTTTGCTGCCTATTTCAGTTGTAAAATACACGTAAACATCAGCATGAATGTAATATCAATTCGACAGTTTTATAGCGTTAAATATAATTTTTAAAAAAAAGTAAAAAGAGTAAATTTATATCTAAAACAAAAAGATATTTCTCACGATATGAACACTCACCATTAATTATAAATTATTTCCCAACAACACCATTTCGAGTGGTGTTCGCGGTACGCAGGCGCATTGGAAATTCTTAACTTGCTAGTTACCTCCCTTTGTTTTACTTCGAAAAGGCTCTTTATGCTTCGCACTTGAAAAACCCGCCCAAATTTGTTCCCCTACCCACAAACAGGAGGGCAGCTGTTGTGGATGTCCATGCTCATCTGGTAAAAATGATAGTTTAAGGCTTAGATACATCCAGTGAAACCAATGAACATGCATCTTAATATGACTGCAGTTTTAGGGGGTAACTAGATCAGTAGAAATTAAGTTTCGGCGGGAAATCGACACCAGGAAAAAATTGTATAAAAATTAAAATCTTATATTGTCAAATCATTTTCAAGAAAGTTTGGAGAAAATTCTGTTATTATTTTATTACTGTACTGTACTGTACTGTACTTATTGTAAACTTTAGAACTGGAGAAAAAATGAGTGTGTTAAAAAAAGAAAGTTGTTGTTACCTGTAAAACTAAGCAATAAACAAAATTTAATTACATTCCACTAGATTTTTTTAAAAAGAAATTTCAATTTCAAAATTCTGATAATTTTTTCACGTGTTCAGTTTACGCTACATTAAAAAAAAAAAAAAACAATTGTTTTTAATCCCTAAGAAAAATGAATTTGTTAAATTAATGCGGAATATACACAGAAAAATTACTTTTTTTAGTTTCTTCATTCTGGTGGTACAAAGTTTCTGTTTGATTTTTTTAAAAAGATTACCGCATTTAATTATTTAAAACAACTACAAAAACCTTTTTTTTTCGTTATTACTAACGAAAAAAAAGGTTTTTGTAGTTGAACCCCAATCAAAAACTAACATGCTTAATTTTAAACTAAAGAATCAGTAGAGAGAGAGAGACATATAATCACCTACGTTCTGACGGGACAAAAATCAAAATTAAGAAGAATAAATACTTTAATCTTTTTTTCAAAGCTTAACTAGCCGACACGAAAACCGTAGTTCACGGAGTGCAAACGAAACTTATTAATCCTGAAATGTTGATCGGAAATAAGGCTGAAATCTGATTTTTATATAAAAAAAAATCAAATTATTCAATTGTTAAAATTTGACTCTCTAAAACTAACAAACTAAGTTTTTAGTTCTTACTAAGAAAATATAATTTATTTTCGTTTTCTCGTTTTAGGCTTCTATACTTAAAAAAATTATTGTATGTTAACTTTTTGATGGAGAATTAAAAAAGCCATATTTCTAAGGGTTTTAAGTTCCTCTTTATAATTATAAATCAATGTAGCTTGATCTAAGCTTAATGGATAAAAACAACTGGAATCCAAGAATACTTTCCTAATGATTAAATTTCTGTTCATAAAGAGCATTTTGTTTCTGTTTTTGAATTTGAGTCAACTGGTTTGATGTCAATGTTTATTTATTTTTTAAGCTTATGGACATCAAAAGAGAATGGTATTTCTGGTAGAAATATTTGCATCAACAATAAATTAAGCACTAACACAAAATACTAATTGGTAAAATATATATATGTGTGTGTATGTATATATTTATTTTATATATATTTTATGTGTGGTATTTGATAATCACAAAAAAGCATGAAACCCAGTGTCACAAATTCATATCCATACAACTTTTATATATATATATATATATATATATATATATATATATCAATAAGTCCATAGCCAGAGATAGTTTTTGAGCTTACATGTATCTGTAGAAAATTCGGTCATCCTGTTTTTGTTTTTAACACACTGCATTATTTACTATTTTCCTTTCTACTGCATTGTTTTTCAAGACTGCTCTACTGCACTACTTAATTTCAGTCATGATCATTTTCTGTTGCCATAGCAGGATATGACAACACAATTGCAAAATTCAAACACACTATCATTCATTCATTTGAGTCACTTGCAGTGGCAGGATAAAATTTTGATTTGTAAACAAAATCCGAATGTCCAAATTCAAAACAATAATATAATAAAGAAAAATGTGTATGCCTGTTAAATCATTTGTTTTTACAAACATATGTACATGAATTCAAAAGAGTTAGAAAGCAGTAAAAATAGTTTTTAGTTGAGTTAAAGTATTTGAGTAGTTGTTAGACAGAAAAACTATACTTTACAAAAGATGTTTAAATAGTCCACATTAAAAAAGCAATGATTGAGAAAAAGACTTTGATCATCAGCAAAGATTCACTGACCACCCCTGCTGTTATTGTTGGAGATGATTCATTAGAAGTTGCCAGCACATTTCTTTCAGCATGTGTTGGTGGGGAGTGGCTATGTAACCAACTTCTCTTGTGTTGGAACAGGCTGGAGACAGTCACATCTTTGTACTCCTAAAAGTCGAAATCTGTTGTATTTTATAAGAAAGTGTTTTAGTTTTCTCTGATTGGTCAAATATTTCACACGGTGACGTTAATTTTTAACCAAGAGACACTTTGATTTAAATGGTATGTTTTGTATTGTGGAATTTTGGGGGCATGTCTTTAAATATTGTCTTATTTTGGTAGAAAATAAAGTTTGTGTGCGTTTTAATATGGTATGTATGTGTTGGAACTAGGGTCTATGTTGTGGTGTCCTCCCTCTAAAGCATCTATGTTGGACTCTTCTGCCTACTATAAGATTAGTAGGAGAGAAGGCCTTGGGGAACAGTTGAATAGATTGAACACTGGTCATCTGACACACACTCACTAGTCGTGTAATACTCTTTTGTTGTACTTACTGTTTAATATATGGTATATCCGCAACACTTGTTTTGTTATTTCTTTAACCATTTACTTGGTCACAACAGTCTATTTCTTATATATCTTTATAATAAATATGTTTGTTTTTGGATTCAAAGAAGACATTTTTTATGCAACTAGGTGTGAATACACAGATGGTTCCACAATGTGACTCAGGTAGCACAAAGTCTGGAATAGTGCAGTCATTGAAAGTTGGTTGTAATTGCTGTCTGTGTTGCTTTTGGTGTTGTTTTCCCACAGTAATGAGTCTTTGATGCTGAGCTTTCTCAAAATTTGTAGATGTTTGCTCACCAGTATGTGTGATTTTTGGTGTGCTCCTTCAACTTTGGTTTGATATTAAAGGTTGGTTTTAGTTAAATATTTGTAGCATTTTATTTATTTATTTTGTTAATTATTGTCTTTTTCTATATGAAAATTCTCCATACAACAGGCATCTTGTTATACAGTGCCCCTCCATGTAAATAGCTGATATGATGGAATGAGTGGCGGCACTATAGGTGGTAACCACCTATAAGTATCCGTGAGGACAGCAGACAGCAGAGTTGATCTGGGATCTGCAAGACTAGCGGCCTTCTGATAGCAGCACGCACACAACTGTACTGACTTGCAATGACCGTGCGCATAACTATTACTTCCTTGCTTGTTGTACTGGTTTCTACAAATAAACCTGTTATTATTTATCCACTGTGTTTGTCCATTTCATATTCCTATTAGCACGGAATATGGAGTTGGGCTTTGATAAGCACAGATACAATGCTTGTGGAGTCAGCATGATACAGAATTTCAAGGTTAGTGATCTGACCCTACCACTGATTTCCTAACATAGAATGAAGAGCCTGTAGATGGAAGTTTTCCAACTTCTTGATTATTATTCTCTCTGTTTCTTTTATACTCAGTAACCCCTTGTGTCTTAGTGGCTTTATTGCCTTGCTTTGGGTGAAATGATTAAAGATAATGTTTGTGCTATAGGGTTCACAATTTGTATCTATAAAGAAGTGAAAATAGTATCATTTACCATTTTGTTGACAGGCATATATATAAAATGTTTATTTTTTATTACTGTTAGTATTTGGTGAATATTGGAATTTAATTTGAGAACAATATTTTACAAGTTAACATTCTTGCCTATTTTTCTAATCCTCACTCCAACCTTTTTTCTTACTTTCAAAACCGGCTCCCAAGGCCTTGATTCTTATCAGAGATAAGAATATATTTTCTGACTAACGAGAGAGCTGGAAAATATAAAAAGGAATTCCACCACCATTATTCTTTCCATGGGGCCATAAAGTCTGGGGGAAACCTCACAGCTTGTTCATTCCAATCTTTTTCATTACTTTCAAAACCAGCTCCCAAAGCCCTGATTCTTATCAAAGATAAGAATGTGTTTTCTGACCAATGGAGGGGCAGGAAATTTGTATAACGATTTTGGAGGGAAAAGTCCCCCATCCTTCTGAGTCTCTCAAATCTCCATAAATTTGGAGAATCTTTGCCTATTTGGCAGTGAGAATTTGGTCCATCGTCTGTGAGGTCATCGATAGAGAGCACTAGTCAACTTCGGAACCACTTTCAACCAAAGAAGAGCTACCGTCAGACTGTCAGCCCACTAGACTTCTGTCATCGAGCTATAAACTCACTCAACTGCAAAATTCCTATATCTACCAACATTTTCCTACTCTGCAGGAACTTTGAGGAAAACTGTATTTCTAACCATTAACAACCTTCTACCTGCTTAAAGAAGTTTTTAGGTGCTCAGAGAAATATTTTGAGCAAGCCTTTTTTCTGTTATGAACATTTTCTCTTCCCTTAATTGTCTTTATCCCTTTACCCTTTTTTCTGTATATGTAAATAAACACTTTCTTCTTTTATTGTTACACATCGAGCAGGAGTTTTAAGTCTGTCTTTACTCATCTGCCTAAAAGAGCAGATGAGTAAAAAAAGACGTTTTTGTTGCAATTTTTTAACCTCAACCCTTTGATGTAGAAAAGCTGGGACAAATTTCCCAGCATGTAATAATAAATGTTTAATCATCTAGATTGTTTGTTTTTTGTATACAGTCTTTTGAGAGAAGTGTATTTTTATGACGGCCAGATGGTTTGTGGAAAAAATCTTTCATATGTATATCTTTTTAGGCTCAGTGGTTAAAAGCTGACTAAATTAAGAATGATCCATTTCAAATTTATGGAAAATATTTTTTCATATCTACTGTCCAAAGAGAGACATGGTCTCAAGCTCTAGTAAAAACCCGAA